ATTATGCATAGTGTGTGGGAAAAAAGTAGAAAATATAGAACATTTAGTCAGCTGCGAGGTATCAATAAATTTATTAAAAGAGATAGAGGAGCAAGAAACTGAGAAGACCTTATTAGAGCTAAAGGAGCTAGAAGATTTCGAAGAAAAGAAGGAGTCAATATTAATGATGCTGGGCAAAGAAAACTTGGTTGAAAAACTTCAAAGAAGAGAGAGGTGGATTAGGGCTTAGTTACGAAAAAGGATTTCGAGAAGCTCAGACCAAATTTCACTTCAAACAGGCAAGCTATTGATTTTATAATACGGCTTTGGAAAAACTGAATAAAAGCAGTTTACAAGACAAGAAAATTTGGGTTGCAAGATATAAGCTAGTCCAGGAATGAGAAAGAAAAAATGTTATAACATATAGGGAAAAAAGAAGAGCTAACTTAGAAAAAGAAAAAAAAAAAAAAAAAAAAAAAGCCGTAAGTTCTAAAAGTGAAAGTGTACAGGAAAAAATAATCAGATAAATGAGTCCGAGGAGGGTTAGAAAAAAATTTTGACTGTTGCCAAGAAAAAGATTCTGAAGTGGATTAGAAATAGGCAATATGCAGAGTGATGGAAAATTGATTAGTAGTCTTGACAAGCTACAAAAACCATCTAATGAAGTATTAAGGTACTTATTTGCAAAGTAAATTAATATGGAGGTAAAATCTTACTATAGCAGGTCATACATAGGTATTTTTAAAATAACCAGGTGAGCCAATACTTGTAAAGTAGATGTCAAAAGGAATAGTCTTTTGAAAAATTCTTCTCTTAATATTTAATTTTAAAATATTATAAGATTATGAAATCTAATAAAGTAGAGGCAAGACTGCCAAATTAAAAAAAAAAAAAAAACTCAACCCTTACCTTAAAGCGACATCGTTGAGAAGTATAAAACCACCCCATGCGAAAAAAAAGTCGTTCACATGGAGCTGAATTGACTTTAATGCTGAACAGCCTTTGTGCAACCATGCTGATTTCTTTTAGATTAAGTGCAGCGAACTCCCAATACCGCAGTAGTGCAAGCCTAACTATATTATTTGCCATCTTACCTTGTATATTATGTTCTTCTGAAATCGCTTCAAGAGTATTATTAAACTGTTCATCAGTGAAAATGTCTTACTTCATATAATATTCTGTCAATTCCAATGCGACATGTTTTGGTTTTTCATTAAATCACTTTTCATAATAATATTCAGTCCAGCTAGATATTCGTTCAAGGCTAAAAAAAACTTGGCTTGATAAAGCATGAACTTGAAATTGTAGATTGAATATAACTGCTAAAAAAAGCAATAGCTGTTTCTAGTCAGCCCAACGCTTTTCAAATTGCTATAACATTGCATAACCAAATCCACCAGTTTCATCCTCATACTGTTGTGCAACATATGCGAATGAATAGATTACATCAAAAAGAGTTGCAGCATTGCGTTAAAGGTAATCTAAAATACTAACAAATAGCAGCAAACAATCGGCAAGCTCATCAACATTTTTCCAAAATGTTATGCTATTTATAGCAGATTGTGCTTTATTTGATAGCTCATTTGAATTTACATAAATAATTGAATACAATTGTAAAGCCTATTTGCTTCTAATAAAAGCAGCAAAACAATAATAATAGGAATTCTATCGGGTAACTACAGTACAAACAAAGCTATAAATTGTCTTATAAATTCTTTGTTGTTCATTATGAAGTAATGATATTGCTTTTGTATGCTTTCGGTTAGTAAAATACACTGCTATTTCAATTGCCTACTCTGCTGTACATTTGTATTCTGATGAACATCTGAAAATATCACCAATGCAAAGATTGGCCTGATGTACAAAGCATGGCAGGAACACAAGATCTGGCCTTTCTAATTGTATTTTGCGTCTAATTAATAATTAAAAATATTAATAAACAAAAATTTTATTGCATCGTTATTCAATTAAAATTTAATTAAAAATAAAAAAAAATAATGCCATACCGTGCCGAGGCATAAGATGATGCACTGTCGGTTACTATAGCTACTACATTTAGATTTTGTGCTTTTGTATGTTCTAAAAAAGCACAAATTGTGTTTAAGCTATTGTCTGTTTTTTGACTAGTGCCATTTATGTTTTTAGCACCCCATATATATAATTTGTTTGTTGCTGAAAGAACAATAGCACCTAAAATTTCTTGGTGGCACACATTCTTCTATCCATCAAATATAATAGTAACTGGTTTCTATATTTCTAAAAGAGCAGAAACTTGAGAACTTTCTAATTTTTTAGCATAATTTTTAAGAATTTTTTTTGCTCAATGTTTGACGACTCAGAATATTAACAGTGGTATTAAAAAAAACAACAAACTCATAAAAGATTCTGGTTCTAGTAAACCAGAATGAGAGACCATTTTCAACTATCATATAAAGAAGTTGACAATGAAATTTATTCTGCTTAGTAGGTGATAACTGATGAACAACAAAGTAGGTATCTAAAGATGGATTTGTTTGTTTAGTTCGTATTCATTTCATATTACGTAATACTGATGTTAGTTCTAATGCATCTGAAATTCTAGCACTGAAACCTAAAGAAACAACAGACATAGCCAATGTATTATTTTGAGCTCTTGCTTGTCTTAATGCAATAACTGCATTTCGTGCTGTTGTTTCATCAGGATCTGGATACATCATTATTTCTTGGTCTTTTTCAACCCAAACCTCATGTCAATAGAAACACTTTTTCTAATATCGTTGTACGTGATCCCATCTATTAAAAAATCTCCATTTTTCATAAACTTGCTATAACGGTAGACCTTTATTTTTTTCTTTTTGAAATAAACCTTCTTTACTTTCACAGGCTTTATATATAGCCCGTTTAGCTTTTTGTATTGGGCCCAAATCAGTTTGTATATGGATGCATTTTGTTAATCTATGAGTATAAGTTTAAGACATATTTGAAATTTAATTATAACATGAAAATTATCAAATGTTTATTTATATAATGATAATTATTATAATGCACTCTATATTTTAGACCTAATCTTTAATGAAGAGATAATGAATCACATGACCAAAAGGGTAGCCACAATTTCACAGTTTTAGAGTATGTCACTATATACATCAATGAAGATGAAATGAGATATAACAGGAATACTGGCGTGGGAAGATTGAATACAAATAAAGAATAATACTTATCAATACATGTCATAGCAGAAATGTTGAGGAGCCGGAAAAAAGTAAGTACATGTGTATATATATATGCGATTCTGCCATTTTCTTATTTCTCTATTTACAGCTGCCTTGCTTGACAGATGAGTAATGACCATCAGTGAAATATTGAGCAAAAGAAGCCGGAAGAAAGCAAGCAAGCGTGTGCATATATATATGGCTGTTCTTTTTATTTCTCTTCTCACAGCTGCCTTGCTTTTTTCTACTAGTTTTTTGTTTATAGCTGTCTTGCTTGATATATGAGTAGTAAAATATTGTTGAACAATTGAAGAAGCCAGAAGAAAGCAAGTGCGTGTGCGTATATATACATAGCCATTTTTTTTATTTCTCTTCTCATAGCCAGCTGCCTTGCTTTTATAGATGAGAGATGATCACTAGTCAATTCTAAAATGATTCTTAGTACAATTACGATTGTTAGTGCCATGAGATATTACTATCATTCTGACTAAATTGGCTAATATCCAGTCTAAGTTATAGTCTCCAGTCCAAATTATTTGCCAATAAATAATCAGGTGAGAACGTACAAAATATTCTGGTGAATTTGGCATATACCAATTTTAGAGAACTAGCAGTCCAAAAAAAGTACTTACATATATATGTCATGTACGTGAGTGCTTTTCATAGTATTTTTTCTGACAGTGACATGTATTTAATGTGTACAAATATTGCAATATTAATATTTGTATAACTTGATCAATTTGACTAATTTGACTAATTTGACCGTGGTTAAATCGGTCAAATCGGTCTGATTGATGATCAGTAGCATTCATAAGACCCTAGAATTACCACTCTAAAAAAATTTCGCTACCGTTAGGGTTAGTTAGGCATAGCAAAAATATATATGCGTAAACTTTCGTAAGTTTTTACGGTGCGTAAGAAAATCGTAAAACTACATAAAATTTAGTGTAAAACTACGTAAATCTTACGCACCATAAAAACTTACGAAAATTTACGAAAGTATATAAAAATTTATAAATCCTAAAATTTAAATC